GCCTATCTAGATTACTGTTGTCTCTAGCAAGAGCAGACTATGTAAGATCCTTCAAATGTGGTTGGATTCCAAGTTTTTAATGAGCTCTAGCAGCTTGAATAATAGTAAGGGATGATGAAAATGGGAATTCAACATCTGGAAGGACTTACTCTGGCTGTTCAGTGACTGACCATGGGTCTTCAAATACATGAGGGGATTTTTTTTTCATAACTTATCTAGAAATGCCAAAATCCAAATTGAAAAGTTTTGCAGATGAATAACTTTGCAGTTGAATGTTATATTATATAAACTAAGGTATTTTTTTTCCAAGAATGACATGTTATTTACCTAATAATAGTGTATTGATCATTATTAGTTTATTAAACATATGCTATCAGACTCTCAGAAACTAGTATTGATTTTTGACCGTTACCGTTTATTTTCAGTTTGAAAAAAGGACTGTTATATAATGAAAACAACAGAATAATTATTTTTCTAGCGCTCTGATTATTATTACTTAATAGCCCAGAGGTACAGATGAAGGTACAGATGAGGTACAGATGAAAAGCAGTGTTGCTTGCAAACTCAATTCTTGATAAAGGTGTTTCTTGATACATATTTCTAAGTTTTAAAATATCTCCGTAATCCTACTATTAACTTTTAAAATCTCTGTAAAGGCTGCATCTCAACATTAACTTATCATATTATTCTGTAACTAAATTGGAATCCATGCAACCAGAGCAATCAGATGATCAATCTATTTGCCATTCCTCTTATGCAGGGGTGGGTTCCGCCAGGCACTACTGCCAATTTGCGCATGTGCATGCTTCACCCGCATGCACAGTGCAATTAAAATTGTTCTGCGTATGTGTAGAACTGAAAAACAAGATGGCGCCACCCACGGTACTGCCCAGGGAACCGATTTGGGGGTGTGGCAGGCCTGGGTCGCTGCGGGTGCCAGCAACCCAGGCTGTCAAACCACTGCCGGTTCATCCAAACCAGTCTAAACCAGTAGGAACCCACCACTGCTCTTATGACAATAATTCCATCCTATCTGATTTGCACCAGTTTATATTTTAATTTTCTGTAATTGGGGATATGACCACTGACCTTTTATAAAATAGCTTGTGGATGAAGCTATGTGTTTGACTATTTGTTTATCCTAACAAGAGAATTAATTCTCTGGTTGTGTTAGGTATAAATTACGTTATAACCCACTCTCGTGGGCAGTGTAATGCTGTGCCAGTGGCAAAAGGGTATGATCGTTAAATTCTGCATTCATAAGAAAATAATAATGATAAGGCATATTGATTTCAGTTTCTTGAAATACTTCTAGCATCCTCCTACAGTTTCCTGGATTGAAGTAGCTATGATATTAGCATGACAGGTGCAGTTTAATAGCCTGGTTATTCTGAACCCTCCTTCACATGGTCAATATAATCTCTTTTCATTTTGTAAGAGCAGTGTGTACCAAGCAAACTCTCAAAAAATTATTATCTGTAACACAAATAAGCCTGTTAAGATATCCGCCATGTCGTGGCCAAAGACAGTCTTACGTAGTGAGGCTGGTACCCTCCCTTTTGGAAACAGTTCTAAAACTTCAAAGAATTCAGAAAGATCCAATTAGGTGGTTAATTGGAGTCAGCTGATACAATCATATTATACCAATCTTTCTTACCTACTAGCTCTCTTTCTGAGACCAATTCAGATTGCTTGAGGCTTGCTTATTTATCTATCTATCTATCTATCTATCATCTATCTATCTATCTATCTATCTATCTATCTATCTATCTATCTATCTATCTATCTATCTATCTATCNGTAAGGAACCCATATTCCATGAACCAAAAGCATTCTTGTAAAATGTGACTGCTTTGCTGGACTATTTTAAAATGTTGGTGGTAGCCTGGCATAAAGATTATTTCCAGTAATTATAAATTTAATTTCTTCAGACTCCAGGCCTACTAAAAGTATTCTGTGTTGGCTTTTGGGATAGGAATATTTGTCACTTTTATTGTGCACCTTACTTCTGATCAATAATTTACCACCAAATACCTGTGACAGTCATGTAACAGTTATGGCAGCTGCAAAAAGTCTTGTAATTTACTCTGATAATCCGTGATACATAAACTAAGAGCAATTCAGGTCCTAGTAGCTTACTTTGCCTTGTTGCTGTTTTCCCAGGAATAGTTCCTGGCTAATATCCCAGCTTTGCTACAATTTCCAACTTCCTTCAGTAAAATGCTCAGCTTCCAGGAGGAAATTTACAGAGCTCTGGAGTTTGAGAATTGTATTAAGAATTCAGAATCCAACATCTACAGCTCAAAGGCCAAGCAAATTAATGAAAAGAAAGGGAAAGCTAATCAAACTACTGCTAAAAAAAATGAGTATTATATAGTGCCTCAATAAATGATATGTATTTTAATACATAATAGAAGAGAAAACTATCTTAGTAAATTAATTACAACGCTTATTAATAGGGTAGCAGTGCTAATGGGTTTGTGTTATCACATTAAGTAACAGAGGAAAGGTATAATTACATCAGGGGTGGGTTCCTGCCAGTTCTAGCTTCTTCTATAGAAGAGGTTCCACAAATCTACAGAGCCATTTAGAACCGGTTCTAGTTCCCTCCCCCCGCCTGTCCGCACATCATCAAGATGAAGAGTGAGAGAAGGAATTCTGGGAGTTGAAGTCCACAAGTCTTAAAACTGTCAAATTTGAACACTCCTGGGTTTTTTTTCTAAAGGGTTAGGGGTGCAAGGGTCTTGTATTTTGATGGCTTTAAGACTTGCATACTTCAATGCCAGAATTCCTGAGCCAACATGACTGGAGGAGGAACTCTGGGAGTTCAAG